GACTTCTTCCAATATAGAGGCACGACAGCCTCAGCAAGGTCATCCACATTTTCCCCAATTATGTTTTCCACACTGAGGGATTTCCCTTCCCCTAAGACCTTGCAGAAATGCTCAGCAAATCTACAAACCTGTTCCTGGGGGTCGTTGACCATATCACATTTTTCCCCCTGTTGTCTATTGTGATTAAAAAAATCTATTAAATAAAATATAGGTAAAATAACGAAATAAAAATGTACTATTGGCTCTCTTGTTGTCTGGGGGTATGTATCACCAATCGTGATAATATCAATGATTCTCGCTTCAACTTGTACGCTTCTTGCGTTAGCATTAATTGTTCTCGCTTGAACAATTACGTGTGCAATTGTGTCAGGTATCGGGATTCGGATCTCGCCGCAGGATACAGTTCGTTATTACGACAATGATGCACAAGATTAGGAAAGAAGCACACAGGAACCTGTTTTTAATCTAAGCAACTTTAATCTCAACTTCTGCCAACATCCAAAAATTATAATCATCAGAACACCAACAACATTGTCCATGCAAGTTTAGTGTAGCAGCGCCGACTGGCGACTAGAAGTAGCAATTACGGGTGTACCCACCCAAGGGGAAGAACTGGGGCAAGGGTCATAAGGAATAAGAACTGGGCCAAAGGTCATGGAAGGGATCCATCTTTGAGCTCCCAGAACCAGCTAGAAGGTTCGAGAAGGGGGGCGTTGCCAAGGCGGGGCCAGATCCCGCTGGAAGGATAAAAGGGGGCGAGAGAGGGAGTTCGGTGGCTGTCCGTGGGAATCAAGGTCGTCTCGCCGTGGAAGTCGTCCTCGTCGTCGCCATCGCTGCTGCCATGCTTGTCATCGTCCGACGCCATCTCTGCTGGATAGTCAGCCAGCTATCCAGTCAGTTAGCGTCGTCGAGCTCGGTGGTCAGGTTAAATTTCCCACACTATCACAGCCACCTCGCACGCCGAGCTCGACATTGCTGCTCTGCGATCTGCCATTAACATGATAATCTCTCACATTAACATGCTAATATCTCACATTAACATAGCCACCTCCACGCCTTCGTAGTGGAGGCCACTGTCCAGTTACATTAACATCACGAGCCCTGCCCACTTTGTTTATGACCCTTGGGCTACAATATTTTTAAACGTTTAAAACAGTCTGCCTTACCAGCTTTCCCCCTCTTTTCTCCTCCTGATGACGATCGCTTGTGTTGTGGTCGAGACGTAATTTTTTTTTACCTATCTTCGTGACTTTACCGAAAGACCCATGGATATGAATTCCTGCAGTCACGAAAGCTTTAAGCCAAGATTTATGCCAAATAGTCAGTATAAAAACCTTTTGCTCCTGGGCTGCCCCATCATATAACAGTACATTCTATCATCAAACTAACGTTTAATACCATATATTGGAAATATTCCTACGCGGTGGTGGTAAATCCAAACATTACAACTTTCAAGCAAAGGCTTGTGAGTAAGTAAACTCCACGATGCCTGTCTCCCTTGTGTTCGGGACGCTGCTGAAGCAGCAGGGGGTGCTCCTTTTGCCTTTGTTGTTTCAATGGAGGAGTTCACAGGCCTCCGTTACTGTGTTTTTTATAACGCGCTAAATCCATATATATGTAAAAAGATAACTATTACGTAAAAAATAGAAAATAAAAATAGGCGATATCACTCTTCATATAATTTTTTGAAAATGGCATTTGTACAACACCCCTAATGATGGTGATAGGTGTTGCACTAAAAGCTACTTCTTGATGGAGTTAAACAGTGATTTGTGATCAGGTATTACTGAGGCAGACTCCATTTCCTCAGCAACCCGTGACAAACACCCATCTTTGCAGCTCCGTATGGCTCTCCAAATCTCTGAGAGAAGGCTGCGGTAAACTTCCTCATTCTCTGACATGGGATGCTGTAGACCGCGAGAGGGGACATGTCGCTTTTGCTCACCCAGCCTGAACACCTTCTCTGTCTGCCAGGGTTTCTGTGGAGATTTGGACAGTGCACCCAAAGCAGTAATTGCAGCTGCATGAGCCACAGTCCAATAACTCACCCATTTCCCATCGACATCAGAAATGGTGGAAGATGCAAACCCCAGCTGCAAGTGATCGTGGAATTCTCACTTGCAACTTTCATTAGCTAGCTGAGACCAAGCAGATGTTTGTTCGAATAGGTTCCTGGATGTATACCCACTACCGGAGTGGAAGAATGTCATACGTATCTTAGAAATGATAAGCCGATGGTCAGTGGGCAGATTAGCCTTACGGTAGGGCCTGCTGTCAAGGACATGGGCGCGTATCCACTTTTCGATCATGATTTAGTCCAGCAGATGGTCTTGCTTGGACCCGGCATGCATCCATGATTTTGAGTGGATGCACCGATGCTGGAACAGCGTGTTGGTAATTACAAGCCCATGGGCTTCACACAAATATAGCAGCCTCCAACCGTTGTTTTTGAGCTGATCTGTCTGATGCCTTCCAGTCACTCCAGACCAGGTGCCAGCATCATGACCCACTCGGGACTCAAAGCCACCCAACAAGATGATTCTATCTCGAGGGGCCACTTTAGCTAGCTCCTGTGACAGGATGTCATAAAAGACATGTGATTCATCGGCCTTGCCTGCATTCCTCTACTGATGTTCATCTTCGTTTCGCAAGCGTAGAGAAGGAAGGGAATGACCGTGGCCGAGAAGACCTGAAGCTTCGTGCGGAGCGACAGACCAGGTAGCTTCCACACAGCGTTACGCAACCGATTAAAAGATATTGCCACTCGACTGATTCGGAGTGAGACCTCTGCTGTTAAACCGGTGCCGGTAATGAGCACAGTCCAAGTATGGGAAACTCTCTCTACAACTACCCCATCACCGATTGGGAGTTGTGGGGGTGGAGTGTCCGATGGTACAAAATACCCAGGCAGGTGCTTAGTTTTGGTGGGGCTGATGGTGAAGCCCCACCTCTTAGTGGCACGCTCTAGCAGCAGTGTCTCCAACTCCTCCTCTGAATGAGCAGCAATTACCAAATCATCAGCATACATAATGTGGTTGACCAATAGGGAGACATTCCTTGACCGCACCCGGGCAGCCTCCCATTGTATCTGTACCAAATGAAAATTCCTCCAGTACAGCTATTGAAGGCTTTACGAACTACGTGGTCAAAATAGATGTTAAATAATGTGAGAGAACCAAGAACATCCTTGTCGCACCCCAAGGTGTACAAGGAATGGCTCTGACTCCCAGCCACATAGTTTTACCTGGGCCCGTTCATCATCATGAAGGTCTTTAATGATAGTGAGCAGCGGGTCAGGGACTCCGAAAGAACGAAGAACAACCCAGAGCCCAGGCCTACTGATGTTATTATAGGCCTTGACTAGTTCAATAAAGCAGAGATGTAGGTCTTGTTTGAATCCCCTACTCCGCTGATGTAGCAGATGGACAGCAAATATGGCATCTGTGCAGGACTGTCCACTCCTGAAACCGCATTGGGGCTCCGCAAGCCTCTCCTCAGCGTGCCGAGCAAGGCAATGTTGAATAATCCTTGCCAGGACCTAACCCGGCACACTGAGGAGTGAGATGCCCCTGTAGTTGTTACAGTTTGTGTGGCCTTCTTAAAGAAGGGGACCACCAGGGCATCTATCCAATCCTGCATAACCCTTCCAGCGGTCCAGACTGTTGTTATGATGTCACATAGGGCAGTCTGCGCACAAACGCCACACACCCTCAGCATTTTGCTTGGGAGATCATCTCTGCCCGGTGCCTTTTCTGGTCTCAGACTCTGGACCGCCTTCAGTACTTCGTCAACAGATGGTACCTCAGCCAGCCACTCACAAGGGGTGACCTCTTCCAATATTTTAGGCACCGCAGCCTCAGCAGGGTCATCCCCACTTTGTCCCATGATGTTTTCCATGTCGAGGGATTTGCCCTCCCCCAGGACCTCACAGAAATGCTCAGCAAATCTGCAAACCTGTTCCTGGGGGTCGGAGATTGGATCACGATTAGGGTGGGCCTGTCGCTTTTTCTCAACCATCCTGAACACCTCCTCTGTCAACCAAGAGTGGAGGACGATGCCAACCCCTGCCGCAAGCGATGATGAAATTCTCGCTGGCAACTTCCATCAGCTAGATGAGACCAGGCCACCTTAAGTTGGAATCGGTGTCCTGTGTACACCCATCACCGGAGTGGAAGAATGGCAGGTGCATCTTACAGATGACAAGTCGATGGTCAGATGGCAGATCAGTTCCACGGTAGGTCCTGGTGTCAAGAACATGGGCTCGCATCCGCTGTTCCATCACTATGTAGTCCAGCAGATGTTCTTGCTTGGACCAGGCATGCATCCATAATGTTGTGTGGATGCGCCGATGCCGGAACAGCGTGTTGGTAATTACAAGCCCGTGGGCTTAGCAGCCTCCTGCCGTTGTTATTGAGCTGATTTGGCCCATGCCTTCCAATAAATCCAGACCAGGTTCCTGCATCAGGCATTGAAGTCACCCAATAAGATGACTCTATCCCGAGGGGCCACTTTAGCCAGCACCTGTGACAGGAGGTCATAGAAGGCATCTGACTCATCGGCCTTGCCTGCATCCCTCCACGGATGTTCGTCTTCGGTGGGGGCATAAATAACCACCACCACTCCTTGCCTCTGGTTGATGGGAAGGCGAGCACAAAGTAGCCTGTGGCTTATAGCTTCCCACACCTCACCGACACGGCCCCACGCCCCCTTCATTATTTTGTTCATAAGTAGAGCCACACCATTTTGTTTGGCAGTCTCCTGCCCCGAGTAGAGGACCATCCCCCCTCATGGTGGCAGGAGCCAGAGCCGGTCCACCGGACCTCCTGAATGCCACAGAGATTCAGGCAGTGCCGGTCCAGCTCCCAACTGCTGCTACATAGATCCCTTAAGAGCGCTGTTGTGAGTGCAATGCAAGACCGAGGTTGATTCTGCGTAACATGTTGGGAGTACGGCTCTCCCGTTGAGTCCTGGGGCGGGGGTCCCTGACGCTGTAGTCGACCTCGACGGTGAATTTGCGTACCCTGGGCTTCTGGTACGTTGCCTCGTCGCCCAGGAGTTGAGGCCTGCGTCAGGGTTGGTGTGAATGGTCCCCGCGGTGGTCTCTATCTGTGTAAGTCGCTGTGGTGTTCCGTCATTGTCGACACGGGGGTCGCTGCGTGAAGTCGGTGAACTGCAGGGTTCTGTAGACGCGTGCTATTACTGTCGCCGAGAGTTTGAAGAGTTGGTTTTACTTGGTTGTCAAGAAAATTATTATCTGCCACAGTTGGTTCACGTCCTTGTGCATAACGAACCAAGGCATAGTTACTGCATTACAAATCTTGTTAAAATTCCCAGTATTCCAGATCGAGTTATTGTCCTTCTTTACGTTTCCTTCCGATGAAAAATATTGAGAGAATTGCACGGGAGAGAAAATAGATCCGAAGTCCTCTCTCTCCCATGTTAGAAATGAGCAACTCTCGTAGCTATCAGCTGGAATTGGAATATTTCCCCCTTCACTGCCGATGCCGGATGGGAAAATTTGTGAGGTTTCAGGACTTTTTCAGTTGGTGCAAGCAGCTATGTCTCTGCGCATTGTCTAACCGATTCATAATCCCCTAGACACCGTGACTCACAAGGAGGGAGGTGGCTGAGAAGAAGTGCCGGGCCTATTTTGCCTCTGGTGAGAACATCTCACATCCGAAAATTTGCAATCATTACCACAGCATTGGGCAAGCTGAGTATATTTGCAGATGTTTGTTGGGTATTTTTCTGAGATGTTGCCCAAAAGCTTTGTTTAACACGGGGGCAGGGGTGCATATGCGTGTGTTAATGTGTTCCCAATCTGTATTGCCTGATGCGCTGATGGAAACAAAATGATTCACTCGGAGTACAGGATATAGCCGCTGAACACCGAGTCTCTGTGCACGTTGAAGAACAAATTAATGTGCGGAGCCTCCAACTCCAGCCAAACCTCGTCCTCGGCTTTGAGACTCAGCACGACGCTGCCACTTATTGCGTTGAATTTCTCACCGCACACCTTAGAGATGATGTTCCCGTTTTTCATGATCATAACCACAATGTACTTTTCACCGGGGTGCGCGTACAGCGTGAAATAGTAGACGCCTGGATGGGCGCAGGTGAACTTCCCTGTGCCGGGGTTGTAGTGGCCCTGCGGGTTGGTGATGATGACGTTGAACGTCACGGGGGAGCCGGCCGCCGGCGTGTAAGTGTCGACCTTCGCAGAGAAGGCCGACCTGGGCCCCACGCCGCTCTCTCCCCGCTCGCCTTTCTCGCCTCTTTCGCCCTGCTCACCTGCGACTCCCGGAGTCCCCGCGAGCCCTGGTTGGCCAAGAGGGCCCAGCTTTCCTGGCAGACCTAGTCGGACAACACGGTCCAAACGCACGGCGTGTGCATGTGCGTGTGTTAACCCACAGTAGTGTAGCGGTTAGCACTATGAACCCAGCAGAGACCTGAGTGCGATTCCCGCTCATGGTCAACACAAGCGACGAATATCTGAACCAGTCCTGGGACTCCTTCCCTAGGTCGACTCAGCCTCAAATGATTACCTGGTGCAATGTGTGCACAACGCCACTTGGGAGACAAAGGCATGCCGGCCTTCATCGGTGCTCACTAACAGCACTTGCCACAACAGTCTGATAAGGCTATACGGGGGATTTTTGTATATTTATCCCCACTCTCAAACCGAGAGATGGGGCAATTCTGCACCCATGTTGATGACGGTGAGCCAAACCTGCACAATTGGTGTCTTTTAACTTCACGTAAAAAAGTATAGGAGAGGTGATACATCGCTTCGTGGCACATGCAGCCTGGTTTACAGGAGGTCGTGCGCTCGATCGCATTCCTGACGCCAGCTGTTTATTTGGAGTTTGCATGCGTCTCTCCCCGTTGTTGTGTGGATTTTTCACTGGGTCCTCCGATTTTCCACCCTCCACATGTTTACATGTATTTATCTGAATTTATGTCCACGTGATGATAAGTCCACTTCGTCGAGCTATCATTACGTGTGGCCAGGTCGCTTCTGAACAAGAGTTACATATGTCGCGTGGTGTTTATTAACGCGGAAAACTTCGTATTTTTCTCCTGAGTTACTTTATTCACAGCGTCTCACACGGATGCTCCTCACGTTCAACACCACGTACTCATGTCGCAAACTCTTTCTTTCTTCCTCCGCTAGCCTGTTACTCCCCGCTCTCCTAGGCTGTCACGGACTCTCTCTGTACACTCTGCTAGCTTCTCACCACTAAAGCCTATCACACTCAAACTAAAGATTTTCCGCTAGTCTTTCCACTGATAGCGTGTCTCGCCCTTTCCCCCAGCGGGGGATCAGCCATCATCTCTGGGGAGGACGAGGTGTGGAGGGCAAGGTACCGTACTTCTCTTGAATACTGTTCACTGCTTCATCTCCAACCAACTGCTTCATCTCCAACCAACTTGCTTCACAAGTTCCTCTTATATCTCCCTCCTAATTATGTGCCCTCAGGTGGCCCTCATTAAGCCAGCGTCTTCCGGACGCCTCTTGCACTGTTCTCACCCTCATCTTCACTATCTCTCGCCTCCTTGACACCTACCCCGCGTTTGCATTTGCAGCCAGCCAATCACTGCCTCGTTCCCTAATTGTTGGCGTCTCTCTGTCTGCTGTCTCCCAGGCCACCCGCCTGCACCTGCTCGTCCTGAGCTGACCTCACTGTTTGCAACCCCGTACATGAATGCAACTGCTGTTTGCAAACCCTGCGAACGTTACGCCACTACGCATAGTTCAGTGAGGATTACTTGGTAATAAAATAAATACATAGAATCAGCTGCTAGGAGCACACGAGTCAGTGTCACAGTCCCACCTGGGTCTCCAGTCAAGCCTCGAGCCCCGAGGTCTCCCTTGGCTCCGGGTGCTCCGGTAACGCCTGCGAGAAGAACAAAGCATGGCTCGTCCGCTACTCAAGCCACTCTCAATTCACACCACTCGCTTCCACTCACTCTCCTGCCTCTCCACTCTCATCTCACTCTACTCCCCTCCACGCACTCCCCTGCCTCTGCCCTGTCATCTCACTCTACTCCCCTCCACTCACTCTCATCCCTCTCCACTCTCATCTCAGTCAACGTCCCTCCACTCACTCTCCTACCTCTCCCCTCTCATCTCACTCAACTCCCAACACGCACTCTCCTTGCCTCTCCCCACCCATCTCACTCCCCTCCACGCACTCTCCTACCTCTCCCCTCTCATCTCACTCATATCCCCTCCACGCACTCTCCTGCCTCTGCCCTCTCATCTCACTCTACTCCACACGAGACACTCTCCTACGATAATGAGTGAGTGAACGATCGAGTGCATGACATGGCGAGTGAACGATTGAGTGAGTGAATGAGTGAGTGAATTAGTTAGTGAATGAGTGAGTGAGTGAACGAGTGAACAAATGAGTGAGCAAGTGAACGAGTGAGTGAACGAGTGAGCGAGTGAGTGATCGCGTCGCACCACCAGCGCACCGTGGGGGATTCTCTGGGACCCGACCCCTCACCGTCTCTGCCGTCCCTCCCGGGGGCCCCAGGGGTCCCGTGCTGCCCCGGGGCTCCGGGCTGACCGGGGATCCCGTTGATGCCCGCGCAGATGGTCTTCTCCTGCTGGGCTCCCACCACCACCACCCCCAGCAGCAGCGGCAGGGCCGAGATGGACATCTGGGGACAGCAGTGGCGAGATGTTAACTAGCTCGCCTGGTACACAGGATGGATTTAAACACGAATTATTATTTTATTTTACCAAGTAAGGTATTAATGAGCTGCTATATAGTAGCTCTTTTTTCACAAGCGCCCTGCCCATCACAAATGCGGGTCTATGTGTAAGTCGCCTCGTCTCTGTGCGAGGCAGTGGGTCCTTGTGTGAGTCTACTCGTCTCAATGTGAGTTCACGGGTCTCTTTGTGAGTTTGGGTCTTATTGTGAGTCTGTGGGTCTCTGTGAGTAATATGGGTCTCTATGTGAGGAATCTACGGGTTTCTGTGTGAGGCTATGGATCTTTGTATGAGTCTATGGATCTCTGTGTGAGGCTATGGATCTTTGTGTAAGTGTACGAGTCCCTGTGTGAGTTTGTGGATCTATGTATGAGTTTGTTGGTCTATATGATTATACGGGTCCCTTTGTGAGTCTATGGTCATTTTGTGAGTCTATGTGTCTCTGTGTGAGGAGTATATGGCCTTTGCGTGAGTCTGCGGGTCTATGTGTGAGTCAACTCGTCTTCATGTGAGTCTACGGGTCTCTGTGTGTCTTTTAATTTTTGTGTGCCTCTATGGGTCTGTGTGAGTCTTTGGGTTTCTTTGTGAGGCTATGGATCTCTGTGTACATCTATGGGTCTGTGTGAGTCTACGGGTCCCAGTGTGAGTCTGTGGATCTACGTGTGAGTCTGTGGGTGTATGTGTAATGAGTCTATGGGTCTCCGTGTGAGTCTATGAGTTTCTGTGTGATGCTATGGATCTCTGTGTACATCTATGGGTTTGTGTGAGTCTACGGGTCCCAGTGTGAGTCTGTTGATTTATGTGTGTGTGTTTGGGTCTATGTGTGAGTGGACTCATCTCTATGTGAGGCTATGGGTCTTTTTGTGAGTCTATGGGTTCCTGTGAGTAATATATGGGTCTATGTGTGAGGAATCTATGGGTTTCTGTGTGAGGCTATGGATCTCTGTGTGAGGCTATGGGTCTCTGTGTGAGTCTATGGGTCTGGTGTGATGTCTATGGGTCTCTGTGTGAGTCTTTATACGTACGGTAAGTTGAATTTTCTTTCGCTCCACCGTACGTAGCAGCTGAGCGTCCTGCTAACCGCAGGTTGTCGGTGCTCAGCGTTGGTCACCGAGTCACTGGAATCCTCTCCCCCGTCTCCCCTTTTAAACGTTACTCGGGTCACGTGCTCCTCCATTTCCAACTTGGCCCAGACCTCCCACGTGTGACGTCACAGTCAACACGCGCGCGCACAAACAAGAAAGACAAAGATCCCCGCGTAGCCTGTAACAGACTGCCGGGGGCAAGTGGCTGTTAGTAGCGAGACGTAGCAGCGCCTATGAAGGCAACCGGCACTGTGGCACACGGGGTGGGTGGCCAGCAGCACACTCGCCCAACCGCCTTTGTCTCCATTAGTGGTGATATTTAGCAGTGACGTGCGGTGAGGTCAATGGCTGGGAGGCACTGGCTCGTATCAAAGCCTGTGAGGGGGCGTGTCTTCACTGAGGGGCGTGTCTTCACTGAGGGGGCGTGTCTTCACTGAGGGGGCGTGTCCTCACTGAGGGGGCGTGTCCTCACTGAGGGTGTGTCGTCACTGAGGGGGCGTGTCGTCACTGAGGGGGCGTGTTCTCACTGAGGCGGGCTTTTCTGACACGCCCCCCTCAGTGAGGCAAATGTGAAAGCTGCCTCCCCTGGTGCTTTTTGATTGCAGTTTCATCACGAGACATGCGAGACTAGATATCTTATACACATACGTGAAATAAGTTACCTGGATTATGGAAGGCGAGGACATGAAATGAAGGGTCTATAAACATTACCTTGGTGACATACTGAGATAGTAACAGGCACGTGCTTATTGCCCGCGTTCCATCCAGTTTCTGAGGGTTGCGCAATCAGAGAGCAGGCTGAGCTCGTCACTGCCTCACCTCTCGTCTCTCCCTGTATTTGCAGTGGAGCTCGGCAAATTTGGCGATTTTGACTATGAA